AACAACAAATTATTTTCTTTACTTAGATTGTGTTCAGCAACACTCACATTTATACCTAAAAATGAAAAATATATAATAATTATATAAATATAAATATATTACTATAAGTACATTCATAAGTTACTATTATTAATACAATACAGAAATATATTAATATGAATTTATTGGTAATATGAATTAATATTTATATTAATAAAATATAATCTATATAATATTTTATACAATAGTTTCCCACATGAGCTCCAGACAATTTAATGAGACAGGCAGAGAGGTATTATCAATGTGGGTGCAGTAGAGTAATATAGCCTAAAATGTTAAGGTCATACTGCCTTAGATCAAATTCCAATTCATGTAAGTATGATCCTGAGTTGAAAATTCTCCCTAGTTCAGTCACCCCCTTTATTAACTGGGAGAAGAGCAATATTATCTACTTTAAATAACTATTTTAAGGATTAAATTAGCAAATACCTATAAAGAATTTAGCCCAGTGCCTGACATGTAGTAAAGTTTTTAATTTATCGTTGACTACACAGCACAATTACATAAGAGAGATGGGACTCCAGTCTAAGAATCCAATCCTTGTTCCACCACATCATGGAAAAATGTAGCTACATTTCAGATCCTAAGTGGCATGTTTTTAAAATCTCCATTACGCTGACCCCAAACCCCTTACCCTAAGCTTCATGGATTCCTAACAACAAACAAGGCTGCTTAGACACTACTGATATCTGCAAATTGGTCTAAGTGTGGATTCCAACACAATACTTACAGTCATGCTACTACCTGGCAGCAACATGTGTTTAAGCATCTTGCATCTTTCAAAAAGTTCATATTCAGAATAAGAACAGTTAAAAAAACACAAATACGGTCAGTCTGGAGCTTATCTCTTACTTTAAATCTTCAAAGGACAGCCAAGTCTCAACTAATTACGGAAGAATCAATGAGCTAGTACTTATCTCTTCAATGAAGAACACACAGACAGCTCATTTTTCAAGGCTTCACAGCAATGTGCTAGTGTAAGATTTCAGTGGCTGCTAAGATTCTGTGAGTTGCTTAAAACTGCCCAAGCTTTCCTATATTTTTATTTAGAAGAAGAAAATAAGGTGTATTAGATTTAATAATGTGATAAACTCTATGTACCTTTCGGTGGTCACTTTCTTCTATGACAATAAGTACCATCGTAATATCTGCCCTTATAAAAAATAAATTTAAAGAGTATAGTCCCAGTCTGTGTCTATACATGGTTTATGATTAAGAATGTAAAGTGGTGTCTTCATGGCTCTGATATTTGAAGATTAATTCCAACACTTTTTTGTATAATCAGTTTATACCAAATAAAACCTGCCTCTCAACTCAGAGATAGCTTTTTAATATACATCCTTCTAGAATATACCATGTGCTCACAAACACACTTACATATATGTTTATATGTTTCACCCTTTAATGGGGGTCACATCATTTTTACTTTTTAAATTTTTTTAATTAAATTTTTTTATTTTAATGGCTTTAGAAGCGTAAGTGGTTTTTGGTTACATGGATGAATTGCATGGTGGTAAAGTCGAGATTTTAGTACAGACATCACTGGAGTAGTGCACATTGTACCCAATGAGTAGTTTTCTATCCCTTACTTCCTCTTACCCTTCTCCCTTCTGAGTCTCCAGTGCCCATTATTCCATTTTGTATGTCTTTGTGTACCCATAGCTTAGCTCCCACTTATAAGTTAGAACATAGGGTATTTTTTTTTCCATTACTGAGTTAATTCGCTTAGAATAATGGCTTCCAGCTCCAACCAGGTTGCTGCAAAAGACAATATTTTATTCTTTTTTATGGCTGAGTAGTATTCCACGTTGTATTTACAGCACATTTCCTTTATCCACTGATTGGTTTATGGGCACTTAGTTTGGCTCTGTATCCTTGCAATTGTGAATTGTCCTGCAATAAACATGTTGGTGCAGGTATATCTTTTTTTTATTGGTTTTGCTCAAATACTTTATTCAATCAAAAAATAACAAGAATCTATTATGTTTGGTATTGTGTGCCTATACATATAATTTTTATACACCAGCAAATGATATATGAGGAAATATATTTTTCATCTAAATTGTATCTAATGATATGCATAAGGTTATTTCAGGTTAAATTTATACTATACTTATTTTACCAAGCATTATGAAGACAGCATTTTGACATTTCAAACAGATATTTCTCTCCTGTTTTCTGTAATATAATTTAATCATATCTCAAGCTAATTCTGAGAAATTCAAAAATATAAGCAAAAGTAATAGTTCCATAAATATCAGTAAAGATAAACAAAAAAACTTAAAGGGAGCAATGTGAAAACATGCCTGACTTTTCAGCTAGATCATTTTAACTTTCTTTGGCAAACAACTGAACAAAACCCCAAATTACCCAAATTTACTAAGGAAGTGGAGCCACATGATGATAATCAACACAAGAGTCTCTGCAGCCATCCGGAATTCAAGCTGTGCATATGGAGAACTCTGCTATTCCAAACAACTTGTATACCAGGGGTGATTCTCTATACTCCATTTGGACTATGAGTCATTTGGGAAGCAAAATTAGACTCCCCCCCACCCAAAGATTGTTTTTTCTTGTCATTGCATGCTCACACACAGGGCTCAGAGTTGATGGATAACTTACTCCTAGCACCCTGCTTCCCAGAAATGGAGATAGCAGAATTGTATTTTACCCAATAGATAATTTACTCTTGACTAATGACCACTTAGATAGCAGGCAAAAGGATTTAAATTTCTAAACCCTAATGGAAATTTAAGGTAAAAATTGAAACAAATATTTGTCAAATTATTAAATTCTTAGCGAGATGATTAGTAATGCTGATACAGAGCTAGCAAAGTAAGGAAATTTTCAGCACCACTAAGTTTATGAAAAGCATGCAAACTTAAGTTTAGGCACACTCGAAATGAATTTGAAGAAGTCTTTCTAGCCTAAAAATATTTTGTAAATTTCATTCAATTAATAAATATTGACTGACAAAAACTACAAAATAAATCTCGGTTAGATGAATAGGTATCTCTCACGTGTGACTTTGGGTTAGACATAAAGAATGCAAACAATAAAGGGATATGGAATTGTTTCTAGAGGAACCTAGAATTTAAAATGTTAAGAAATGTACACAGAAAGTAAATACATGGTATAAGGAGTGGAAGGTGATATGTGTCTTTAAAAGATTTCTGGGACATTTGTGCGATGGACGCCAAAGGGGAGAAGTCATGGAAGAGGCAGAGTTTGAAGTGACTCTTCCAGGACTGCAATGGTTTGGACCTAAGACCTGGAGAAGAGTATCACAGATGCTCACATGTAATGGCACACAGGTGTGCAGACGCTGTTTGGTAGGAAATGGAAAACCAGGGAATATTTGTGAATAGGGAAATGATATGGTCAGGGTTTTGCGTCAGGAAAAGCAATCGGCAGAAAGTATTTAAACTGTGGGAGGGTGGAAAGGCTGGAGGGGAGGGAATGGACAGCCTGCAGGGCTCTGAAGTGCGGAGCTGGAGCTTGGGATCAGGCCAGAGTTGGGGATAAAAGTTTGGGAATCTGGGTGTCCTCTTCCTAGTGTTCATAATTGAGAAGCCCCAAGAAGAGCAAAGGGCAGGGCAGTTTCTTGCTGGAGGGCGACAGCATCAGAAGAGCCAACCTCCATGCTAAATATCTCGTCTAATGTCTGACATCTCGAAACAACAACAACACACGCACACACACACACACACACACACACCACCCCAAAACCAAAAACCCTCAGTACAAAGTAGGGCCACCTCCCCAAAGGGTGGTGGGAAATCAAGGTGCAGAGAATCAGAGAGGATAGCGCACTCCAGGGCCCACCAGGGCTAAAACTAAGGCAAAGATGACACAGAGTATATTTAAAACAGTGTACTTGGACCTTCTTCAACAGCCATCTTTCTTGGACGATAGAAACTCAGGAGTCCCTGCTTTAAATAGATTGTTATGGCCTGCGTTCTTTTCTAAAAGGTGTTTTAAGCTACTTTGTTTTCCTGAAAGCCTCTGCAGCTGTGCTGGCTGTGCCTGTGAAGGAGCACTGGGGTCAGGAATACGTAGGGCCAGCGACATTATTCAAGTTCATTGTCTTTACCGCGCCCTGAAAGTGGGGTCCGAGTGTCTGCCCGGCGGCCTCGCCAAGAAGGAACTTGGCATAGTTTTCCAGCTGGTAAGTAGATAGGCAAAGGAAAGAAAGCAGGGTATGAAGAGCGCCCCCGTGGGAAGCAAGAGTTAAGCCTGCCACCGACCCGGCTTTACCCTCAAACCCAGGAAAGCGGTGTCACTCAGGGCTAGGGACTGCCCCCGAACGAGCTGGGCTGGAGGTGCTCGGAGGAAAGTCAGATCTTATCTGCGCTCCTAGTTATCTTCGCTGCTCTTTCTCCAGGAAAATAATCCTGGCACCATCACTCAGGAGCCATCTGTCTTCGCCCCAGTTCCCCGGGGTCAAGCGGCCAGCCCGGGGTCAGGGTCGTGCTGGGAGCGGGAGGACAGGGCCGAGGGAATCCCGGGAACCCGCCGGAGCGCGTCGCAGCGGGGCGTCCCGGGGCTTTCCCGGCCTCCGGTGCGCGGCAGCCGCGGGCGCTGCGTCCCTCCAGCCCAGTGCAGCCGGGTGGGAGCTACCGAGCGAAGCAGGTGGGTGTGGAGGAGCCGGGTCTGGGGCAGCAGGAGCCGCGGGCAGGCGGGAGCCGAGGGAGGTGCCCGCAGAGGTGTGGGCGGCGCCCGCCCGCCAGAGCCCCGGCCGCGCCCTGGACACCCGGGCGCTGTCCCTAGCTGAGCGCACAGCTCCGGCGCCGCGAGGCCGAGCCCCGGCGTCCCCGGAGGTGCCCTGCGGGCTCGCACAGCTCCGCCACCCCACTCCGCCGCCCACCTCGAGAGCCGCAAGCGCCGAGGAGGAGGAGGGGGAGGAGGCGGAGGAGGAGGAGGAAGAGAAGGCGGCGGCGGCTCCAGCCGGCGGGTGCGCGGAGCGCGGGAGGAGGCGGAGCGGGAGGCTGTGGTGGCCGCAGCCGTGTGTGCGCGCCGGGCTGGCGAGCTGCGGGGCGGGGGAGCGGCGCCCCAGAGCGCCCCGCCTCGCCTCCCGCGCGCAGCCTCTGCCCTGCTCCGCCACAGACACACACCCACCAAGCACCCACCGCCCTCCGCCCTCCGCCCTCCGCCCCCGCGGCCGCCGCCGAGCCTCGGGCAGCCCCAGAAAGCGGCAACTCCCGGGCTGGCGCGACTCGCTTTCCGGCTCCTTCCTCGCGGCGAGCTCAGCCCCGCTCGATTTTTCCTCTTCGGTTCGAGCCCTCTCTCGTCTGGGTGGCGGTGGCGGCGGCGGGGGATGGGGACCCCGCGTGGGGAAGAGGGTGAAGATCGACGAAGATTATTGTTCTTTTAAAGGATGCCTTAGCTTCCTCCCGCCGCCTCTCCTCTGAGCCTTCCTACTAGAGACCGCGAACCAGAGTCAGGGATGTAAAGACAGGGGGAAAGCACGCCAGGAGCTCCAGCCAGCCGGGGAGACCCTCCTCTTTGCGGAGGGGAGGGGGATTTCCAGCGACAGATCATTGGCGAAGGGGATCGTCGCGGGGAGAGGCTCCCCGGAGGGAGCGGGGAATCCCGCAGCCCTTTGTGGTGCCCGAGCCCGTGCCGCCTGCTGAGCGGGGTCTGTGGGAGCTAGGTAAGTGGAGGGGGCATTGCTGCCCCTCGAAGGGGTCTTCCTTTAAAAATGAATCATCGCAGCAGCCTAGCCAGACTTGAGTTGCTAAAGGAATTGGAAACTGCCATATGGCGCCCAGTGGACTTACACACAAAGCTGACTTAGCCCTGAGAGGGTTTTTAATGTAAGGCTCCTTCCTGGTGGGGAAGGCGCTCAAGTGTTAGCCCCTGAAAAGCTTCCCAGCAGCCTGACTGGGAAGGGATGGGGATATTATTTCTAGGAGCCGAGCTCTCGTTGCCTTCCGTCCATTTGTTGGTAAATGCCACTCTCACATGCACACACTTGTGGGACTGGATTTAGGGAGTGTGATGTCTCTGATGTATGAACGATCCTCAGAACACAGAGACATTCATGCATTTTATTCTTCAAGCGGTGCGCGGTCTCCGTTCTGTAGCACGATTCCCGAGAGGGAGAACGGGTCTCTAAGGAGAGAGCTTCATGGCTGTTTCCAACACACTCTGTTGGGGACTTGGGAATACGTTTGCCCTGAATAGGACATCGACCAAAAGACATCGAGCATTTGCCTCATCATTCGCTCCCGATGCTTAATGACCCTCTTCAAAATAGTATGCCGCCATCCATTTTCTCGAGTTATGAGCATTTATGTGTATTCATTCATAAAAACTATGAGTGTGCAGTATGCACAAACATGCCATTTATGCAACATTTATGACTGCACATGTGTTTCAACAATAAGTAATAATACAAGATGCAAAAAATTTAGTATGCACAGATGTACACTGGGTTAATTCCACGCAGGTTGAACATTCCTTCTAATCAAGTTGTGCAGTAATGTCAAGATGTTAAGTATCATATCACATTTTCATTTTTGCATTAATTTTTTTATTTTGTTGGGAATCTGATTTTTTTTAACCAAGGGAAAGGAAGAGTAAGCATTTTGTTGTTATTGCTTTTTAAATGTGTAGTATAGTGTGGGATAGAGGTCTCTTGGTTTATTTGCCAATAAACAGCAATAGAGATTTCAGTCAAAAATCTTGTCTTACCTGTCAGTGGTGAATAACTTACAGGAAAGATTTTGTAAAAGAGGGTAATATTCTAAAGTTATATATAAAGAAAATAAAGTTTTGCATTATGTATTTCACTCTTTAGGTGTGTGTGTGTGTGTGTGTGTAAATATAAAGTTGTCCAAAACTTATAGTACATGAATAAAACCCATAGACATCTAGACTAGAGAGTTCTTTGTTTTTCAATTAACTCAAACAGTTTAGTAATTTGGCACATTACACATGTGTATGCACATTTAATTGCTGTTTGAGGGTGTGTTTTTTAATGTAAGGGCATGGATAAAGTATGGTGGCATGGACTCTGAAAATACTGAAGGTCCAACGTAGAAATAACTTTCTTCCCCAGTGAAGGAAAAGTATCCTCATCACCTAGAAGAGTTAATATGCTTCCACAAAGTAATTACCATAATCCCTTCCCTCTTGCCTTCAGGTTTTTGACAATCGTTTATCACAGATAGAATTCTGTCTGATGCACCCTTCTTCCTTTTCTGGCACTACTCAGACTTGTGGAGAAAGGAGTGAATTTCTTGGCAGTTCTATTTGTTTCTTCCTCCTTTAACCTTCACCTTCCCTCTCCATGTTAGTGTTCTCAAATCTCCCTCATACACAAACCCACACGTATCGACTCCAGAAAAGCACTCTCTGCCTGCCACTTTCAGCGTTCTCATCTCACATCTTTCTTCTCTATTGCCTCTCTTTTCTTTTCTCCTATTTTTCCAAATAGAATCAATCCATGCATCAGTTGAAACTATTTCGCATTTCACTGCTTTCCAAGTCCCACAGTTCAACTTTCCAAGCATATGTATTTACTGAGTTTTCAAATGGGGTTAATGGGAATTATTACTTTATCCATTCCTTTCTGTTTGGGTTTTAAAACTTCATTGTTTATGCAATAGGGCAACTGCCTGCCTTAACTTTCAGCATGGTAATAAAAGTAAGCTTGCTAGAATAACGAAATGGCAGGATATAGTTTCAATCACCTTTCTTGGCAGCCTAAGAGTGTATCTGTCCAGGTTTTTTGTATACCTGCCTGCATGTCTACAGATGCACAAGTCTGCAGAGCATCTTTGTTAAATATTGAAAAAATATTCATTCTCGAATGCATATCTGGCGTTCTTATATGGTAGAGAGATCAGTATATGTGTATAGCATGTTGTGAAGGTAGACCCAAACCTAGGAGATCTATAAGATATATTTCATTCTGCCCTAATGCATTTTTTTTCTTTGTAAAGAACTAATTAGTTTCTTTGAAATTTGCTGTCTCTTAAAAACTAATTCCAAAGGGAGATTCTTAAAGTTGATAGGAAATCTCACACATATTTTAAGGAAAATGCATAAGAGTAAGATATTCTACTTATTTCAAAATGTAAACTTTTTAGATTTGTTTATATGCTTCAGTTTGATTTTACATAAAATTGTGATTCCTATTATTTTCACAGAGACTTCAGAGAAGTGGATGGTACAAAGGCATTATATGTGATTTCTTTTTAAGTCCAGAGGTTTTTTGTTTTGTTTTTGCTAGAGTTTATGGCCTTGTTATCCCCAAGTGATAGAACAGACTTTATAGAGCAGAGCAGCATTAGGTTTTTTAGTCACATTCTACAAGTGTTTTTATAGTCTAGATCTGTAGCCCATTCTGTTTCATTGCTTAATTTCTCCTTGTGCCTCTCAAATATGTAGTCCCACCAACTCTTTACTGCAAGTACGGGTTGTGAGCCAGAAGGTCATGTGTGTGAGACCAGGAATCCCTTGACCTGTGTGAGCCAAACACTCTTCTATTATCTTGAAAAGGGCCTATTCCTATAGGTTGAATTTTACCTATCTTTGCTATCTGATTTAATGTCTCATAGCTACTCATGACTCATTAATTAATTCATTTATTACTTATTAAATATATAGAAGAAGAATGTTTGAATAGAATGTAACGAATGCAAAAGATATAGAAGATAAGCCCTGCCCTCAAGAATTTTTTAGGATAAAAAAAAAGTTGAATAACTTATTGAAGAATCACAGTTATAGTTCAAAATGAAATATCTCTTTTATAAGGAAATACACTTAATAATTTTATACTTAGCAAATTAATTTAAACAAATCTATGAAGGGGATCATGAAAATTTTCACCAACTCTGCATTTGGCAATTGTTAGAAAAAAATAACAACAGTAATAATAATTGTATTAAAATATTTAATTTTAAATTAGAGTATTATAAGTAATACTATTTATTTTATTGACATATATAAAATAAAGTTATTGTTATTATTATTATAGCACCTACTTGAGGCAGATACTGTTTTATGCATTTTGCAAATATTATTTTCATTCTAACAACCACCCTATGGGGTAGCTGTCAGAAATGCCCTTTATTATATAGATATGAAAACTAATGCCCAGAGACTTTTCAACCCCCATATTTTCAACATGAATTTGAAATAAGAAGGTAGTTTAGAGGCTGATTTTTATAATGTAGGTGTGATTTTATCAGAATGTTAACACATTAGAAACTACTAGCTTTACAGGGACCACAGAAAATGAGGCTGGATGATTCAGACAATCTGATTGGTCAGTTTATTTTCATTTTCAGGTTTTTTTAAAAAAAGTTTGTGAATTACTTTGAATATAGTATTACAAGTATGTTTAATGTAGCTATTTTTAGAATTATTTATGTTTTTAAAAAAATATTAGTTCTGAAGTATAATTGTTTTACTCGTGGTTCCATGTTTTTCTCTGTAAAACGTGAATATTGCAATGGAAATGAAAACATCGTTACTTAAAAGATTTACATATTAGTATAGTGTCTAGAATGCATTTATTTTATTAACTGCAGAATTACTATGATTAAATTATGAAACCATAAATGAGATTTTTCTCAAGAAAAGTTTATATATTTGAAGAAAAGTTTTTTTCTCAATAGCCCCTACTTCTGTTACGTGAACAATGTCATCCAGATTAAATTTGAAAGTTGAAATGATTAAATATTGCCTGCCGGAAGCCATAGAATCAAATATTTAGATATATTCTCATGATTGACATTTTCATTTTTCACACAAATATTAGGTCTTACAGGTTCAATCACATTGTATAGCCAATCTTGAACCTACAATTGGCTTATTAGATAAAGTTTCATTTTAAAAGTTTGGTTATTTTGGAACTTGTATATGTTTCCTTATAAAAATAGTACTTTAAGTGAAGTTTAGCTCCTCAGACCAATTCACCAAAGCCCTTTTAATAACTAAATATACCTGAAATACAGCTGTTAGTACTAAAAAAAAAAAAAAAAAAAACCAAAAACCCAGCCATTATGTATAGCAATACTCCTGGGAAATCATTTGATTTAAATAATGTTTATTGGCTTCCTCTGTGTGAGACTCATTTAAGATACAGAGGTGAATGCAGTACTGCCTAGGCCCACAAGGAGGAGAGAAAATGGAGAAGGCATTTGTACATAAGTAACTGACATTAGGAAGAATGAAGGAAGCATTATAAAACTGACAGAGGCAAAGTGTTAAATATTTGATTCAGAGTTCTACCATGAGAGCCAGGGACTGCATATTCCTCGAGGTTCTCATTTGGTAGTTCATTCTAAAGGATCTACTGACCCTCTCTGTGCCAAGTCCGACATAAATATGAATAAAACACCATACACTTACAGCCTACACTTGCAGACAAATAATTCACAACAAACCATTATAAGTGCTATTGGTAGATTGGGATGGCAATTCAGTGGAGTCATTGTATGACAGAAGAATCCCAACAGGTAGCTTTGTGCTTCTAAATGTATTTACAGCCATGACACTTTACTCAGTCAGATCCAATACCCCCTTTTCATATATAATACTTTGTCATCTCCCCTTTATGTTCCTAAAATAATATCTACACAATAAATCCTATCTACACATATAACATTAAAAATCAATATAAATTCCCTATATGTAATA